ACTATGTTAAACATTTTTTTCATCTAAAATATTATGACAAAATTGGTTTAATCTTGATATAGTCTTATATAACCAACTATGTGGTGATACAGTATTTTATGAATCTTTCTTTTTACAGATAGCAGATCAGATGTTTTTCCATAGTGATTATCGACCTCTTATCCGTGATGCCAATAATTTTGTACTAGATGAACAGACTCAGCAAGCACCTCATCTCATGCCTCCCCCTTTTTTGGTTGACGTTGATGGAAATCCTCATCCATCAAGATACCAGAGATTAGTTCCTGGTCGTGAAAATTGCCGGGAGGAGCAGCTCATCCCTCAAATGGGAGTAACTTCCTCAGGTAGGGACTCATTTTCAAAGAAATCAAGTTTTCCACTAACATTCTAAAGAATTACTAAATTGTAGACTTTGTTTTCTCATGTTTATAAAACATTACAAATTTAAAGCAGTAATTTTGGTCAGTTTCTAACCTCAGGAAGCCAACAGGATCATCTGTGTATTTAATTTATTGTTTGAGCCATGTTTGTTAAGGCTCCTTTTCTGGCCTTGACCTGCTAAGCCTTGACTGAGACTCCATAGAGAATTAAACATGATCCATACTGTCAAAAACTGAGTTACAAAGGCTAATAAACACAGGTACGAGAAAATACATAGTTGAGTTTGTGATGGCTATTGTTAAAAGGAATCATAATAGTATGTAAAAGAAGCAAAAACTAAATTGACTATTCACATTGAAGAGTGTTTTAACTGATCAACCTTTAAAGGTTTATGAGAAGAGAGGGCTGACAATGCTAAGAGCTGTTTCTGTGAAGTCAAATGAGCTGAAGACGTGAATGGTAGTTAAAATGTAGACTAGGTATGTAACCTCTTCCCGTATTTGACAAGTATAACACTGATTTATTGACAGAAGATAAGACTATATCAAGATTAAACCAATTTTGTCATAATATTTTAGATGAAAAAAATGTTTAACATGGTTGAGGTTTTGCAATGTAGTGTAATGGATAAAACGTGTATATGGATAGGGGTCAAGTGAGCCATGAAGGTAGATTTTGTAAACTGCATGGTAGATTTTGTAAACTGCATGGAGGAACCAACTATGTGGTGATACAGCAAGCTCATCTTGTTCTCTTAAGGATTCAGTATGGAATTACGATGAAGATGTACATATTGGATAGAAAATGCTGGTCTTGTAATTAAACATGGTCAGTTTGAATGCAGCATGAAGAAAAAACATCAGAAGAATTACCTCCACTTTCTTACAGGGTAGATTTGAGTATCTGATATGTAAAACTAATGTTGTTTAGACATTTAGAGTCCAAAACCAGCTACTGGTTGAAACGTCTAATGCAATACTCAGATTCAAGAAGTCTCAGTATTGGAGAAGTGCTGGTATAGGACCAAAACTAAGAAAAATGTGTGCAAGGGCCAAAGAGATGGCTCAGTTGTTAGAGCACTGGCTGCTTTTGCAGAGAGGACCTGGATTCACTTCCCAGCACCGACATGGTGGGTAACAACACCTGTAACTCCAGTTCCAAGGGATCTGACTCCCTCTTCTACCACTGCAGGTATTGCATAACTGCGCCTACATACAGACAGACAATACACTCATACACATTAAATAAAAATGAGTACTGTTTTCAGAAAAGAAAAATGTGTGCAGTCTCTTGGAGTGCAACTGGCACTGGATTTTGTCCAGGTCTCAATAGTTACCTTAGCTAGGGTTTCAGGTACAGGAAAATAAAGGAAAAGTCTCACTTACGTTATTAAAATTAATATTATTGATAATTAATTATGATTGTTACTTTTATTTACTTAATGGCTTACATGAAGATTTCATAGATAGCATTTAATCATTCTCTCCTAAAAGTTTAGAAAACAGAAATTTAACAGTTGTGTCTTATAAATCACAGATTCTTAACCTAGGTCTCACTCTTGCTGCTTTTAGAGGTAGATATATTTCTCCACTGACACAATACGTAACGGAAATGACTTATAGGAGGAAATCTTAAGGCTTACAGTTTCAGCAGTCATAACCCATGTTATCATGGGAAAGGTAAAATGGAGCAGCTTGGTGGTGGTTTCTCATGATGACATACAGGAAGCAGAGAAAGCTGTACTAAGCCAGGGGTAGGTATAACCTTCAGAAGTCAACCTGTAGTACCTACCATTTCCAGCCAGGCTTCACATTCTAAAGGGTCCACAGATTTCAAAATAGTACCACAGATTAGAAACTAAGCTTTCAAAATTCAAGCCTATGGGAAGCACTCCAGATTTAAAGCATAACAGAATTATAAAATGACTTGATATTGAAAGTGAAATAAATTTTTATGCTGGGCCACAGAGAACATTTAGCAGTAATTACGACTTCTTAGTGAGTCATTAAAATTTTCATTTTTCTAGTTCACAGAATTCACAATAAAAAATCTTTTCTGTTATTACTTTAGAATTCTCTGTTACATAGAGTTAGCACACAAATGGAAAAAAAAAGCGTTTTAGAAAAAAAGTTAGCATCGTTACAAACTGTAGATTTAGATTTATGATAATTTATTTGATAAATCTTGTAATACTGGTTAAAATAAAGGTGTAGGCTATTGTAGTGAGTTGATTTGAGTAGAGTTTTGTTATGTTGATACTTAAATATAATTTCTTTTTCAGTTGGGAACTTAAGTGAGCAATATCAAATTGCTCTTCAGTATTCAAATATGCTCTAACAGCAAGTAGGGAATTTGCAGATTTTTTTTACTTTACCTCCATCTGCCTTTTCTGCTTTTTGTCTTTGTGACCTTGTAAAGTTTTGTCCTATTTACAGATATCTCATGTACAATAACATATACTTACTAAATTTTTCTTTCCTTAGATCTTTCTAATTACTACTTCATTCAGAATATTACTTGTGTGTTCTTTTCATAATTTCAGTGTGCCCTAAAATTCTGACCTGATCAAGTCTGGTTACCTATACACCTACCTCATGTTAATTATTTCGTCTATTTCACAGCAGTAGTTTTCCATAAATCTTATTATGTCTTACTTGTATTCAGTCTTCAAGATTAAACTTTTTTTTTTTTTTTTTTTTTTTTTTTTTTTTTTTTTTTTTTCTGTAGCCCCAGCTGTCCTGGAACTCACTATGTGGACAAGGCTGGCCTTAAACCACGGAGATCCGCCTGCCTCTGCCTTCCAAGTGCTGGGACTACAGGCGTGCGCCACCACGCCCAGCAAGAAAAATTATTATTATATGTGTGGGGGTGTTATTTGTGGAAGCTTGTGTTGGATCCCTCTGGAACTGGAATTAGAGGCGATTGTGACCTGCCTCTGCCTAATGTGGGTGCTTGGAACCTAACTCGGGTCCTCTGCAAGAGTAGTACACACTCTTAACTGCTGAGCCATCCTGCCAGCCCCAAGACTGAACAATTTTATGTACCTCAATTTGTTCTAGATTTTGAGACTATTAGGATAGTACATGCTTTTGAGAAACTAGCTTATTATTTATTTGCCTGAATACTAAGATAAATGAAAATTGATACAGGCCTGAGAGGGCCAAGTAGTTCATTCCATGTATGTATGTGTGTGTGTGTGTGTGTGTGTGTGTGTGTGTATGTGTATGTGTATGTGTATGTGTATATATATATATATTTTTTTTTTTTTAATGTCTTATTTTTTATTTTATGTGTATGAGTGTACTTCCTGCATATGTGTAAGTGTACCTGTGTATGCAGTGCCCATGGTAGTCAGAAGAGGGTATTGGATCCCCTGGAACTGGAGTTAACAAATGGTTGGTAGCTGCCATGTGGATGCTGGGAATAGAAGCCTGGTCCTCTGCAAGAGCAGTCAGTGCTCTTAATCACTGAGCCATCTCTTCAGCCCTGTTCATTCTTTTTTCAGGATAGTTTAAAAAACTTTCACAGAGGAAATAAGGTATCATTTTAGTTGGGTCCTTTGGAAGTTGGATCGGTTTCGAAGGATGAGTTGGAATTTCATTGTGTTTATCTATTTTTAAAATTTCCAAAGCGAGAAGAAGAAATGTTTTTCTATGACTGGCATGGGTAAGAGTTGATAATAGAAAGTTAAATATACCAAGTTTTTTCCATGTCTCCCAAGCCTTTGGATCTATAGTTGACTACTAATCTGAAGTGTTTTTTAAATTCTTCTTGTGCCTAATTCAAGTCTCAGCACAAATGCTGCCTTCTCAGAGGGCTGAGCTGACATCTGACTTGCCATCTGTATCTATGTCTCTCTTCCTGCCCACTTTCTCTTATCACCTTATTTTTTCATCTTTGATAATCTTCATTTACCTATAGCTTTATTGTTTTCTTGCCCCAATCAGAATGAGGCTCCTCTGTAGGACAATGATCTTCAGGTTGCTAATTCATCACGAGATTCCCAGTACCTGGCATAGTTCCTAGCACCCTAACCCTAGCACAGGGAATTTGTTGAATTTTTAAAGTGGATAATGAGAAATTATGGTGTAAGTGATTTAATTACAGACTTCTGTGAAGCTGCTGAGTAGCATTTTCTGTGATACTACCTAGGATTAAATCAAGTTTTAAGCCAACAAGCAAACCAGGAAATCAGTCCCCTGGACAGCATGATTCAAAGACTGCAACAAGAGCAGGATCTGAGACGTTCCGGTGAAGCAGGTATCAGTAATGCCATCCGTTTAAGTAGAGGTAAGCAGAGGTTACATTTTTAAAACATGAAACCACCCAAATCCTCAACACATAGACATGATTAAACAGTAAAAAGTGAAACAGATTACCAGAATGATTTTATTATGAGACTTTAAATTATAGAAAACTTTTCAATGAGTACTTTCTTCCAAATTTCCTGTGGTAAACATTAGAAAGAAATTAGATTTCCTACCACTCCCCCAGCATTGGGGGTGGAAGCCAGGTCTTTCCACATACTGGTCACTGACCTTCCCCATAAGCTAAGGCTCTAGCATAGAAAAGCATTTAAAAGCAAACATATTAAATAATGAAATATAAAGCCACATTTTTAATTAGTGCACCATTTATTCGTTGTATATTTACTGTTTAAAAGTTAAATTGTGAACCATAAATGTCTTTAGGTTTGAGTTTTGAATGTTCCTAAAGGACAATTTTTTAAAGTAATGATTTTGTACTTGAATTACTTGACTTCAGCCCTCCATAATAATGATTCATTAATTTATCTAATCAGTTAAATACCCACTTTTTTAGAAATTAAACTTTTACCTATGGTTTTGTTCCTAGTATGGTAATTGAGTTATTTGTCATTATAGGGAGCTTTGTGTGGAAGGTCATGTAGTTTTGGACTGTGAACTACTGGAGATGAGTGTCCAAATAGGCATTACCATACTAAGTTTTTCTATTTAGGTTCTGTTAGTTCCACCTCCGAGGTTCATTCCCCACCAAACATAGGATTGAGGCGTAGTGGGCAGATTGAAGGTGTACGGCAAATGCACAGCAACGCTCCAAGAAGTGAAATAGCCACAGAACGAGATCTTGTTGCTTGGAGTCGAAGGGTGGTGGTACCTGAACTGTCAGCTGGTGTAGCCAGGTAAGGGGAATTACTGATTTGTATTTACCATAATTGCTTGTGTTCACATTGAATTATATTGAAAATACCTGTTCAGCCTTAGATTTCTTTTAAATTTGTATGGAAAGCTAGTCTTTTTGAGTTGTTCATGACTGCCGAAACACGAATTTTCTAGGTAAGTTCTTTTCTAGGATGATTCATGTATGAGAGGGAGATGTATTGAGATAAAAGTCAATTTGATTGACTAAGTAGATTTTGTTGAGTAGCAGATACAAATCTTATTTGTATGTGTGTGTGCGTGTGTGTATGTGTTTAGCCTAGAGTTCAATGGCGGTTGTCTTCCACTTGATTTTTTTATTTTTTTATTTTTTATTTTTTGAGACAGGGTCTCTCACTAGACCTGGAGCACATTGATTGGCTAGATTGGCTTGGCAGTGAACTCTAGGGATTGACCTGTGTGATAAGTTCTCTCTCATACCTCTAGCACTGGAGTTACTGATGCACCAGAGCTGTTGCATCTGGTTTTTACATGGGCTTGGGGAATCCAAACTCAGGTTTTCATGTTTGTGCAATAAGCATTTTACCCACTGAGACATCTAAATAAATATGGCTTATTTAGAAGCATAAAGAAGATGTGCTTCTTATTGGTGAATACATAAATATTTTGTATTTGAAAATTTTTTATTTTTAATGTATATATATGATTTAAACAAACCTGATATTTTCTACAGTATTTTATAAAGTATTTGTGTGTCTGTGTATATGTATGGAGATCAGGGGATAACCTCTGGGAATTTATTTTATTTTTCTACCATGTGGTTTCTGGGGCTTGAACTCTTGGTCACCACTCTTGAGTGCTGGTCCTCTGGGTGGCTTAAGGTGGCTGGAACAGAAGCAGCAGAAGCTAAGCTCTCACAGCATCACGCAGGCACAGGAAGCAAGAGGGCAACAGATCTGGCAAGGCGTAAGAATTCTCTTAGCCCACCCCCAGTGACATGCTTCCTCCAGGATAGCCACACCTTCTAAAACCTCCCAAAAGAGCACCATCATTTGGGGACAAAATGTTGAAACACTTGGAACGTATGGGGAACATTTTCATTCAAACTGCCACACAATTCTAATATCTGACAAAATAGCCTTTAAACTAAAACTAATCAGAAGAGATGAAGAGGGCCACTTCATTCTGATCAAAGGAACAATAAACCAAGTAGATATTATAATCATGAACATATATTCACCAAACTCTGGTGCACCCAACTTTATAAAAACAATACTACAGGACTTTAAGACCCAGATTGATCCCAACTCATTAATAGTAGGGGATTTCAATACCTTACTGTCTCCATTAGATAGGTCAACAGGGCAGAGAGTTAACAGCTATCTGAATTAAACAATATCGTATATCAAATGGACCTAACAGACATCTACCGAGTATTCCACCCAAGAACCAAAGGACATACTTTCTACTCAGTGTCCCATGGAACCTTCTCCAAAATTGACCATATACTGGGGCACAAAACAAACCTCAACAAATACAAAGAGATTGAAATAATTCCATGCATTCTATCAGACCACAATGCAATAAAACTTACGATCAACATCGGAAGAAGCCCTAATCACCACATGAACACATGGATATTAAACAACACACTCCTGAATGATGAATGGGTCAAAAGAGAAATTAAGAAAGAAATAAAAGTATTCGTGGAACTAAATGAAAAGGATAATACGACATGACAAAATCTCTGGGACACGCTGAAGGCTGTCCTTAGAGGGAAGTTTATAGCTCTAAGTGCCTGCATCAAAAAATCGGAAAGAACACAAATAAATGACTTAATAAATGCAACTCAAGACACTTGAAAAGCAACAACAGATGAAACCCAAACCCAGCAGACAAGAAGAAATAACAAATATCACTGCAGAAATTAATGAAATCGAAACAAAACAATACAAAGAGTCAACGAATCCAAGAGCTGGTTCTTTGAAAAGATAAACAAGATTGACAGACCACTAGCCCAGTTAACCAAAAGAAAGAAAGAGGACCTCCAAATCAACAAAATCATAGATGAAAGAGGAAACATCACAACAGATGCCAGAAAGATACAGAACATTAAAAGGAATACTTTAACGACCTATATGCTACTAAGTATGAAAACCTAAAAGAAATGGACGGATATCTAAAGGCATGGGAACCACCAAAACTAAACCAAGAAGAGATTAACAGCTTAAACAGACTCATAACACAAAAAGAAACTGAAATATTAATACAAAACCTCCTGACTAAAAAAAGCCCTGGACCAGATGGATTTACAGCAGAATTCTATCAGACATTTAAAGATCTTCATCCAATACCCCTTAATTTATTCAAAAAGATAGAAATGGAGAACTTGCAAATTCTTTCTGTGAAGCCAGCATCACTCTAATACCAAAGCCAGGTAAAGATACAACCAAAAAAGAAAACTATAGACCCACTCTGCATAAAC